GTAGAGAGTGAGAGAGAGAGAGATGGGGGAGAGAGAGATAGAGAGAGAGACAGATAAAAAAAAAAGAGAGAGAGAGAGAGAGAGAAAGAGAGGTTGAGAGAGCGAGAGGGGTACAAATAATAATACATGTATAATTTCCTCGATTCTAAAGGCTTTTCCCCCATATTAAAATTGTATGCATTTACAATACATATTATACGTTTCACATAAACTTCTGTATACATGATGATGCACACATGCTTAGGGAAAGGGAGAGACAGAGAGAGATGGGGGGGGGAGAGAGAAAGAGAAGCCAAAGTATAAAGGAATGTCAAAATACACGTTTTACATTATAATTAAAACTGTTTCTGTATTCATGATGAAAACACGTTATTTATTAAGTACCTGTATACATAATGATACACATAATAATTATATATGAACTCGCCCAAAAAAGGCAAGGAACAGCTTGTGTTTTCACCTGTCAAATTCAAACTTCAATGTCTCACAAACCCGTTAAGATCAGTCAACCAAACTTGGCACATGCATTGACGACTAGACACAGTTTGCCTGTACGGCAAATTTGCAAACACCAGCTTCATAGCAATGGCCCAGGGTATTCCGAAACACATCCGAAAAGCATGAAAAATGGGCTAAATTTCTCTGACTCGGCAACATTGGCATCTATAGGGACTGTTAGCTAAAACTAAGCTTGGCACGCGCTAAACAGATGTCTTACCAGTGAATATTGCTCACTTACAACCCTTTATAAGCCAGCGTTTTTCAGCCGTGTTTCATTACAACACGATGGTCCAACAACGGTCGCTGCCTGACATCGACAGAGGACGATCCCTAACCTGGCTCCAAGATGGCCCCACGTTCCCAGTTGTTACACATCGACTTGGGATGTCTCCATCAGTCATACTGAGTCTGCAAGAACGATGGCGAGCGACCGGAAGGATCCAGGACAGGCCTCGACCAGGACCGCCCCGTTGGACCAACAACAGCATCGACCGGTTCATCGTCAAATAGGCCGTGACGAGACGAACCGCCACTGCAAACGGCATCAGGGACCAACTACGGATGACAGCCAATGTCCACGAGAGCGAGGAAACGGTAAGGAACCGTATCCGTTGAGCTAGGTTAGCTTCTCGAGTCCCTTCCAGGCGCCCAAGGCACAGGCCGCCCCACAAAGCAGCTCGCCGGGCGTTGCCCACTCTCCATTCACAGTGGACACAATGTCAGTGGAACCCAGTAGTCTTCTCGGACGAATCCAGATTCAACCTGCTGCACCCAGATAGGCGAGCCCACGTCTGGCGGCGCCGAGGAGAGCTGTTCCACCCTTAGTGCATCCAGCAGGTGGCGCCCTACGGTGGAGGGTCCGTTCTGGTGTAGGGAGGCTTCTCAGCTCACCACAGGGCAATTTGACCTCGGCAAGGTACAGGGAGGAAATCCTGCGTCCCCTTGCTGTTCCTCTCCTGCAGCAGATTGGAGACCAGGCTGTACTGCAGGACGACAACGCCACGCAAGATCGCGCACACATCGTTGGGGACTTCCTGCAGCAGCGAGCTGTCACCTGCCTGGACTGGCCAGCTTGTAGTCCGGATTTGAACCCAATAGAGAACATTTGGGATCACATTGAAAGGTGGATACGGGACAACCACCCTCCAGCACAAAACCTTCGACAACTCTTGGGCTACCTCGACAAGGAGTGAAGAATCTACCCCAACAAGTTCTCCGAAAGCATGTCCTGTCCATGCGTCGACGCTGTACCGAGCGTTTGATCAAACGGAGAGGCTACATCCACTATTGACAATGTTCATGAAAAACTATGGCTTTTCAGACTTTTGAAATCCGACCCGTGTGACTTAAACTCATTTTACATTTAACCTCTCGTTGTTGTTGAAATCTGAAATTGTACACACTTAATCTAGAGAGTCGAAAGCCTCTTTTGTGAAAAAAATAAATAAATTCGGTTAAGCTGTTCTTCAGTTATCTTTCTTTGAATTTTTGTTCCTTGACTTCTTTGTGTCAGTTTACTTTGAGAAAGGTAGAGAGAAACAGAGAGAGAGAGAGAGGTTCGGGGGG